TTTGCTCAGTTGTAAAACAAATTGATCCAGCAGAGAGGTGGTGGTTTAAAAATACCACGTGCATGATTTGTCTGTGATTCTGAGCTGTTTCTCGAGCCCATACTGTGTCACCACTTCTCACAAAAATAACCGCCTTTGATGACCAAACGATGACTTCACATCTGCAAGCCGTCGGTTTAGCGACACGTTGCTTGCGCAACTTTGCGCCGGAGGAATACGTGATTATTGACACGAAAAGTGAGCTTGGTGGCGACTGTCTCGGGGTCTCATGTACGCCACAGGCCGTACGAGTTAAAGGGGGGGGTGGGGGGTGGGGTTGGACCCTGCAACTGCTGCCCCGTACGCGCCCGTGCGTGTGACGCACTGTAAATTGAAGCGGACTTTTAAAGCGAAAGAGTTGCGTTGCTGAAGAGGGTGGCACACAATCTCTGGGGGACGGCGCGTGCGTGAGCGCGGGCCTGTTCTTGCGCGTGGACACCCCGGGGGAAGGTGAGATCGAGTTTCCTGGGCGTGCGCACTAGTGGGGGGGGGGGGCCGGGCGGGTGTGGACACCGGTGGCGTCCGCGCGTTCTTGCAGGCGGACGAGCAAAACCGAGCCGGATGGTTAAATTCGGTCGGATTCCTGGGCACGTTTGCGTGAACCACAATCTGTGTTTTTCTCGTCTCTTCGCAGTGAAACCGCCCAGTGTGTTTGGTGGCAGGGTGGCAGCGGCGCACGTGTTTGAGTTTTTTCCCCCCCCTTCCCTCAATTCTTTCATCGCTGCCCTTGCCGGAGGGTGTGAAATTCCGATCACGAGGGTGAATGCTGTCTATGAAAGGCCGTTAATTTAAGCGTCGAGAGTTCCTGCGCGCTCGAATAGTTTAGTGACTTGGTATAGTTTTAATGCACCTTGTGGCTGTTACTGCTGCCAGCTTAGCCTTCTAAGGGATTTTAAGACATTTGTACTATCACATGTGTACCGCTCGACACTTACACCCGTGGGATATGTCAAACTTTTTATTTCTCCCATTTGCCCACTGGTTTCTGCTTGTCCTTTAAGTCATGGCAGTTTTGGCTGTGCACCATTATTATTCATTGACTTCATTTCAAATTAATTCACCGATTTGCAGTAATGAGCATCATCAATACAGTTTTTAAGTTTCAGTTTATTTTGGTATAGCCCTGTGAGCCATTCGGCTCTTGAATCGGGTGCAACCACAACAAACAAAAAAAACAAAAACACGAGCAAGAAAAACATCTTGGCAAATGATAGTGGAATATGTTATCGCCGACGGCAGAATGCTTGATCGTTATAAATTACCGTTGTCATTATGGACAGTATTAACGTGTGAGTCCTATTATATTTGTATTTAATCGTAGGTCCTGGGGGGTCACGTGTCTCATGCGTGCATTCATGTAATCCAGCTTATTTGCCTACAAGGGCGAATAGTAGAAGTAAGAATGCTTTGTGCTGTTGTAAGTGGATGTTATCACCGTATAGGCTTAGATTACAACAGATGGGAAACAAAACTACATTTTGGCTGTTAACACCAGTTCCATGACCTAAAGGACAGGCAGAAACCACTAACCTTGTCAAACCAACAAGCCACTGTTAAAACCAAACAAGTCTGTAACAGTCATTAAGAATAATAATACGCTAAAAAGTGGACTTCTGTATCACAAAAGGCATGACATTGACCGTTGGATCTGCCCTCCAAACATGCCTTCGTGAATAATACAGACCACCCTGGTTTAGGCCGGCCTCCAACTCGAAATCAAAATGATTGCCACGTGATTATAGACAGTGGCAGTACAATGAGACTGCTGTATGCTGTTTTTCATCCTCTTTAGGACTCATCAGGACCATGATTTTTTTCATCCATTACAGAAATGTTGGAATTGGTTTACACCCAGTCGTCATTTACACTACTCGTCCAAACCCGCCTCCAGGTTTCCCCCAGAAAGCACCATCTTGTGGCGACGCCGCAAAGCTGAATGTAACATTGCAGCTTTCGGGACTTGACCAGATAGAACGCAGTGGCAGTATTCATTGCTGGTGAGTTGTGAGCAATTGGCTTGCACAGAGCACGCAGGGGTGCATTTACGGACACTGCGTGCGTGTGCAGTCCTTGAGGGTTTGCATGTCATGTGTAAAGTTACTGTGGCTCAATGCGATTCTAGTATTTATACACGCACAGCGTTTTTTTTCGTATTACAAATGTTGGATGAGGGGCCTGCTAATGCCGTGCGTATAGTGGGGGTCATTTGAACATACTTCTCCACACTGGTCAATGTGGTTTGGTGAAGGTGGGGAGCAAACGTTGAAGCACTCTACATTGGATGTATACAAGTACCGTACGACTGGACTTTTCTAAGTTTTCTTGTTGGTAAAGCCTTTAGAGACATGTATAATGTAATGTGCCCGTATGAAGAAAAAAAAACATTCGGTTTGTAATTTTAGCATGGTAGTTTTTGTGCGTGGAAAATGGAAATCCTGCCTGTGTGGTATCAGCAAGCATTTGCAGGGCAGCATCTGTACCTTGGCGCCTAGGTAAGTTCATTTTTGCCAGTTGAGGGTAAAGCACTGTCTTTGTGGCAATCCTACTGGAGGACACGGTGCCCCTGAGTTGGGAGGGATGCGTGATGCATCTGTGTGGCCTCAAACAATGGCGTCACGTTTGATGGCAAGTAATGTTGGTGCCAAACCTCAGGGGGTGTGGGGGCACAAGATGTACACTGGTTATCGCTTCGCCCCAAGACGCTTGTTCGCGCGAAACTAGCTATTGCTTATCCCACCTGTGGGTTTGAACCCGGAATATGTGGTGTCGAACCACGCAGTCGCCCTGTTTGTTGGCAGTGCTTGTAAATATTCAGAATTGGAATCTTTTATTCGGACAGCCGGAGGAATCCGGTGAGCTCTTAAGCTCTTTCACAGATGGTCCAGTATGGGTGGGTCGGGAAGTTACAACATCAAACAAAAAAATGATAGGAGTGCAAAATAGCGAAAATGGTAAGCAAAGGCACTAAATTTAATTAATTACTTATAAAAGTCCGTTTTATCAGGACTCTTACTCTGGTAATACGTGCGTTGCAATCTGTGTGTAGTAATCGAATTTTTTTTCAATCCATACAAGCGTAAAGCAAACATTGACACTTCGCTTGTCATCAGAACGATCAAGACGGAACAAAACACGTTACAAAACAGACGGATGCAAACCAGACAGAATGCGTACGATATGAAAGATTATTCAAATGAATGACGAACCCGAAAGATGACAGTTCATATAATCTTGGGGGGGAGGGGTTGGAGTGGTGGTCAGTTTTTACAATGCCTAATTTTCCGAGCGGATACAACTAATACGACTTCCAGCTCAGATCACTCTTCAGACATCGCTGGTGGGGTGTAGTTGGGCGCCTCTGGCTGACGTAAATCACCGTCGATGTGTGGTGAAGGCTGTGACGTACGCTGCGAGTAGTTTTTTTTGATCCGTTGAGCCCCATCGCTGGGAAGGCGTGTTGCTTCGGAGTGCCAGCATCGCATGAGCACGTGGCTCAAAACTCCTCGCCCAGTGGCAGCGGAGAGAATACAAAGCTCACGTCGTGTGCGAGCGCTGAGGGCCATCATATTTGTGAAGACTTTGAGCAGTAGTCCTGATGTACTGGCAGCATGGCAGGCACTTTGGGAAATTGAGTGGTGCCATTTTACGCACCCGCGCGCATGGCATGGTTCGACTCCCACCATTATTTATCAATGCTCGGATGTGAGGCTTTTCGGTCGAAAACATATATTTTGTGGAGAATTCAAATAAAACGGCTACATGACACTTGTTGCGAGTGTAATTTATGCTTGGGTGGTTAGGCTTTGTAACATTGGCGTACACTGAAGTTGGGGCCAGAGGCGTGCCTTCCCTACTGCGCGGTGAAAGCCGCATTATTTTTGTCCCCCTTAAATGTTGGGAATGTGTGCTATTTTATGTGCTGATCCAGGGCCACTTTTGCTTCTGTGCAGCATTGAATCACGTTTCTGGGGAACCAATTCAGATGGCGTGCATTCACGTTTTTGTGCGTCTTTATGCAGTTTACGAAACAAAACTCTGGCGGTGCAGAACAAAATTCTGTCTTCCACATCTGCTGCATGCTAGACATGCGTCTAATATTTTCCATTCTACACCACATTCCTACAAATACCCACGATTGACAATTTGTTTTTATTCCGCATCCTCCACTGACAGGATGATTTGCAGAATTGGCCGGTCGCGTTGGACTTGCCTGTTTAATTTATTGGTTTATTGTTTTGGTTGTTGCATTCTGCCTGCTGTCTTTAACGTAGGCTTGAAGTATTTCAATAATAAAAAAAAGGTGTGTGATGCTTTGAACGATATTTTTGGTACAAATTAAAAGGAGTCTCTTAACTCAAACTAATTGTGTTTTGTGTGTGTTTGCCTGCTTTCCTGCATGTGCTTCTCTGCCTCCTGATGTTCGTGTTTGTTTTTTGTGCAATGTCCTGCTGTTAATGGCTATTTTCTCCGTGTCTTCTGTGCATGCACATCTTCATTTTGTTTTTGTGGCGTGTCTGTGTTATGCCTCATTTTCTTTCCGTATGTGGTTGTCTGCCTGTGTGCGCGTGTCTTTCAACGTGTATGTCTGTGCATGCATTGCTGTGCGTGTCTGTCCGTGTTTATCCACTTGCGTTCTGCTTTATCTGTGCGTGGATTTTTCTTTCTCTACCGTTCTTTGTATGTGCCCATTTCTGTGTGTGCATCTCTGTTTTCAATTTATACCCATCTGTGTAACATCGGCGTTTGTGTGTAACTATCTGTGCGTATCTCTCCGCACGTGTTTCTGTCATGTGCTCGTGTGCTTTATCTCTTTGTATCTTTGCGTATCTGTATGCATTTATGTTGTTTGCGTTCCCTCTTGTGTGCCACGTGTGTCACTGTGTGTGTGTACGTGTTGTGGGTCCCTCTGTGTGTGTCGCTCTTTGTGTGGGTCCCTCTTGTGTGTATCCCTGCGTGTACAGATAGCAGCGAAGATAGGCTCGGACCCAGTTCCGGGTGGTGCTGCAATAGACATGGCATCGGCGTACGGCTTCCCGGGGCAGAAACGTCCACTGGAGGATGCCGGTTAGTGGGACTCGGAGCACACACGGGCGCTGCCTGCCGCCCCCCCCCACCCCCTCCAACTGCACACACACACAGAGGCAGCGCAAACACACAGGCACAGCCCAGCCCGCTCGTTGACAGTGCGTACATATATGTTTGCATGGGGTCCCATTGCGCATAGGAATGGGGTGATGCGTGGACTTGCGCACGCACGGCTCATTCGGTTGAACGAGGCATCGTCATTTCACCTGCGTCCATCATGCACAGCGATCGGGCTGTTGTTAGTCCTGCTATCTGAAAGGCGGCTGCTGTGTGTTCAAAGCTCTGTTGTGGTCAACTCAGTCAACAGTGAATGTCGTATGGACATACTGGCTTCCATGGCAATGTGGAATTTACATCGTTGGCTGCGGGCCGATAGTGGGAGCAGCAACACGATAAGTTTGAGCAGGGAGACAGTTTTGACGTGTTAAAAAAAACCTACACTGTCGAAATCAATTTTTATTTCAAGCGATTACAAATTACTTGAATTTTCAATGATAGATTATGCAAGATCCAGAAATGGGATGAGGCTGTTGCATTTTGAATAGGAATTGTATTTCAATTTGATTATTTCATCTTTAAAAAATGGGAGAAAAAAACCCATTAAACTAGGAGAACACTTTGTAATAAATATTCCATAATATCCTCAATTTGGATTGATAGGAAAATGTAATCTCCATAAAATATATAATTGTAATATGTTAGGAAGCAATTCAAATATATCTTGTATTGTAGGTTACATGTGCCATAACTTCCTTTTTATGTTATACAGCGGTAGTACTGATGCGTGTTTGGGGTGTCGGCAGCCCAAAACACGAGTGCGCATGCACTCGTGTAGTCACCGGCGTGCACGCTCGTTTTTCGACACTAGGCAACGGCTCCCAAGTCTTCCCAAAAGTCCCACGTGTATACGCTACTCGCTGTCATCACGCTCTAACAACCTCTTGAACTACTTTTAAAAATAGAAAACCCGGATGCTTGGGAGTGTTGTTGACCAACAACCACTAGATTTAAAAAGCGCAGCCGCTCTGCACGCAGTAAATCGCCGCGGCGATCCTTGGCGAGTGATTGAAGTGTGAAATTACTCTTATTCACAGGCCCCATTTTGCTAATATTTCACCATCATTGAATTTTTTTTGGGTCATTGCCACAGTAAATACATTCCAAGCACCAATGCAGATGTATCAGATGGGAAGGAATAGGATAATTTTCATGGAACATGTGAAACCTCTGTATGCACCCTCAGGTTCAATAGAGCACCGAACAATATGGATTTGCCAAAATCTGAATGTTTGCCTATTATTCAAAGAAGCAATGAGACTGTTCATTTAATATGGTTGCCACGAGCTAGTGGTGAAAAACATGGCCAGTATCAATTAACACGAGGACCGCTGTTGACTTCACACTTAAGTAATCATTTAATCAACCATGGTTTCATGATTGGCTGAGTAAATTCCGAGCAGGATTTTAACTGGTACACATTTTGATGTAAAAAATCTGCGCTTTCCCAGGTTCTCTGTCCCCTAAGCTACCAATTTTCTTTACATGGCCTTGTGTGCTCGTATCACTGCCCATTGCATGACGATAGTAGAGTACAACGTTAGTCCAGTGGGTGGCGACACCAACCATCTTAAGCACGTTTTTACCGAAGGTACAAACCAAATGTAAAGAACGGCAACAGGTCGGTGCACTCGCATCTGTAGAACATTCCACAAGCGTGTGCTTCTTTGCTGGCAAGCGTTGTCGCCGAGATGCCGTCTCCTTGCTAGTTGCATGGGTAGAGGCACGGCTCAGCTGCGCTCTGCGTGGCTGAGTAGCGCCCGACACCGCATGCACCCAACTCGCATAGCACGCGCGCACGCAACAAACCCGTACAGCACACACAACAAACGCGCGCACGAGCATCCAGCACCGACCAACGTAGCCCCCCCCCTCCTCCTCCTCGCCTGGGACGTGCGAGCGGGGGAGCCTGGAGAAAAACGGACGGACTTTGCATGGCCTTGCATGCACATCAACAAAATCGCTCTTAGGCATCTCATTCCTGAGCTTCATTTCCTAATAGAACTCGTAAGATTCTAGGGCCTTTGTGGTGAACGTGTATTTATTGCCATGCGCTTGATGGGTGAAATTTATACTTGTTTGTCAAAAGAAAACCGGGCAGAAAGGAACATTTCAATTTATAAATTGATCCGTGCGAGTATGGTTGCTAATCGCACCTCCGTTAAGCGCGGTTGGCGATGTACGGTGCGAAAAAGTTCAACGTACATGTATGTATATATCATATTGTTTTCTTTGGTTATATGGGCAGTGGCACGGTGCTCATCTGCCTGCTGAAAGACCTCGATTATAATTATTTTGTTAAATTATACATCAATATAATTAGTTTGGAAAGTAATGCGTTTTCTGGACAACGCCTACCAAAAGATAAACCGTTCGTTTAAATATTTAACTCGATAGTAGCCCTTGTAGAGATGTATTCGCCTGTTTTGCTGGGACACTAGTATCCTCATTGTTGCTTTGGGGACTTATTCGTAACTACATTTATGGTTTAGAATGGTGCGTTTGATAGCGAGGGTTTAGCTTGTTAAACCGGCACTGAGCTGCCTGCTCGCACAAATGACGTCATAGGGTCTTTGAATGCCTCGTTTCACCGGAGAGAGTGCACGCTCGTGTAATTGCATCACAAAGGTCACCGGGCGATTGCAGGAGTTGAGCCGTTGGCCGCGTTAACCGACTTTGCGGCGTGCAACGCTAACCTCCAGGCTCTCGGGTTCGGGTCGTCACGTGGCAACGTGTTAAAATGAAGCTCTCTGAATGAGATGTCCTCCCACCCTGACCATACCTGGCTGCCACTCATCCGCACGCTTTCCAAGGCGATACAAATGCTGCTGTACCCATTGCCCCCCCCCCCCCCGCATGTACGATCCCCAAGGCGCAGGGATGTGCCCTGCGTCAGAATGCGTTTGTGTTGCCGCGCAGGTGCACGCCTGTACTTTTGCAGGGCCCTACTGATGCTGGTTAAGTGGAAAGGTCACTGGGAAAATTGTGCTTTTGTAAAGTTTTCTAGTTATGCACTTCACAGGTGAGGCTGTGTATGGTATCAAAGTTATAATAGCAAGAAAAGGGGTTGAAAAGGTGCAGGCTGGCTAGGCATCGCCTTCGTGTCGATTACCTCTGGCGTTACGTGCGAGACAAATTGTTGGCACGATTAAATGAAGTTTCACCTTTTGTCGAGATGCATCATCACTTCAACTAATAATGGATTAGCATTGCTTTTCGGGGGAATTGTTCATAAATTTTTTAAAAAAAATATATACCGTCTCCCTGATCAATCAAACATTTTTGCAGCACTCACCGCCATTGGTATCGTAGAGCCAGTATTGGAAATTGCATTCGCAAGGCAATGCCCAGTCTCTCCGTAAAAGCAACCACAGTTGACTATCACTAATTGCCTCTAATTTACCCTCGAGGGTTAATGGTCTCGGCCGATCCCTGACAATGTCGATTGTCTCCCCCCCCCCCCCCCCCCCCCCCCCCCCGTTATAGTGCCACTTCACCGAATAATTACAAGCTGCGTTTTGCATAGCATAAACAAGTGAAACAAATTAATTGTTTTTTTTTGTTGTGAATCCCGCTGGAAACACAATGTCCTTCAGTTTGTAAAAAGATTTTGCTCGATTTCCTGCTTGAATTGAAAACCGGCAGCTGCAGAATCAATTTACCTATTCCACGGGGTGCTGCTTGCCAGCGCCTGTCCCATACCGTCGCCTCACCGAGCCAAAACGTCACCTCGACCCTCCCGCCCCCCGTGTTTACATGGTCTGTTGTGGGAAGCCCGCTCGCCGCGCGGAACCCACCCTCTCCGCTTCCCCCCCCCCTTTACCCAAGCACCGCTACACAACAACATCGTGCATGCGCTCCAACGCATGTGCACATCGATCCAAGGCGCGGACTCCACCAAGAAAGCTCTTGTCCCCCCCCCATCCCCCCTCGACGACGCAACAAGTGCACTGTTACTACGGCAGAGTGTTCATGGCTTCTGATTGTACGATGCCAATTGGCTGCCGATTTGCAAATTGAAATGACCGCACTGGGCTCGTGTTGATTTGTTTTTTTTTTAAAGCGCCGGTTACATAGCGACGGCTAACCGCTTGTTTGTCCAATCCGATGGAATTAGGCCGCGTGACCATTGACGCAGAACTGAAACGAATTGCTACATTGTATCCAAATTACAGCTTGGGACATATTCGGCGACAGTAGAAGCCGTATAGTAGCCGTTTTCTTTGCGTTTATTTTTTTAAACCGGATTCAGTTCTTTTTGCGCTCGTTAATGTTTTCACGACTCTACATTTTTCATTGAGCGTTATTTTTGTAATGCTCATTTTAATTTTCACCAATGTGAATTGGCAGATAAAGGTATTGCGTAAAGTTCTAAAATGCTTTTGAAATGTGGGCGAATCCACGCGTCTTGAAACTTGTTACCGCAATGCTTCGTGCACATTTTTGAAATTGGGGAAAGATTTTCATATTTATGACATACATACTTGCCATTCATCCGCGCTCATTTATTTTCAAACGTGCCATTTTAAAAAGATCTGCATTGGTCGGCTGTCGCTATCACACAACTCTCCTCCCCAAGGCCGCACCGCTGAAACGCAAATGTGCCCATCTCTGGTAATGTGAATTCGGCACCGAATTGAGGGACTGTGTGACCGAAGCCATGAAGTCGGTGTCGTGCATTTTCTGCTGTTGTGTGTGAGTGGCTTTGTCCTGCAAGTGTAAAGACGCACTCGCTGAACCAAAGAATAACAATAATATTAACATCAAAAGTAATGGACAAGGGTAAAGGTAATGGTAATAGCGGTGAACCAGTGGCCACTGGGGCCCTCAATGCTCTCGCCCAAACTTCACAAACCCCCCCCCCCACCTCTGTTTTCATTTTCGTGTTCATTTCCCTTTTCTGCTTTCGTGTCGTGTCTCTTCGTTTTAAGTTTGTTTTTGTTTTCTAAAACGTGTTTTTGTTTGTGTTGTGTACTTTTCCGTCTGTGTGTGTGGGTACATTTTTTTTAAGTTCCTTAAGTTGTTTTCGAGTTGTCTTGGTGACTACCTAGGGTATTAGCTACTCGTGCAGTGTTGCTAGATAAGATGCGTGTACGTTGCACGTAAATTTCTTGGCCAATTTTACTTACAGGCACTGCTTTTAAGGATGGGCAAACTGGATTGAAATTGATTTTGTAATGAATGACTGCAAGCTATGCAAACAAACTGCTCGTTAATATTAGAGCAGGAAAGGAGTAAAAAACAACTACAAACATATATACAATGCCGGTTGAAATTTTTGCCAGCACTTTGCATAAATTATTGTACTTTTTCCTTTCAATTAAGAGCATTTATTTGCACTGCGAAAGTGCAAGGTTTGTGCAGTTGATTAAAATGTATTTATTTAAGCAAGTGTAATAAACAATAATAATTGAAGGCTTCAATCATTAAAGGTTTACCGAGTCTCAAATGTTTCCCGCAGCGTTGCTTGGAATAAGTAAACAATTTGAGCATTTCTGCGTGTTGAGTTAACGAGAGTGCACAAAGAAATCCAACCCTTGTGTGAAAGGACATCGATCTGGAATCCGCCTGCTGCTGTACACTACCTTCTAGAAGCACCACCATGTAATACGATCCCACAAGTAGACTTCCAAGTTGCTGAATTGCCACCACACAAACCCCATTACAGCCTGTGGCTGCACCGCTTGCGATTCTAAATGTGTTGGGTGCCGGAGTTACTCTGGGTGTGATCTCTGCAAGGTTTCAAGTGATTTGTTTAGGCATCTGCGTAGAATTGAATCCAGCCGAACAGCTGCTCCAAGGATTGTTCTTTTTATCTACCGAGTGGAGAGTTAGAGAAAGAAATAGCTTTGGACTAATGAATGTTTTGATTTGCATTTAAATGCTGTAAAAACTAACTGTAACCGATGGGTAGTAACTAAACACTTGCAAATACTTGCATGTGCACGCGTCACATTATTGTCGAATAGCAAATGCCCGTTAGATGAATCTGTTGCCGCGTTAATCTTGAAAGGTGCCGGGCGACAAGCCGCTGGATCTCAAAATTTTTACTGCGGTTGTGAACGTGTCTCAAATCTTCTTAGCCTGCCAACTCCACTTAAATGCATAGCAGATAAAAGTCCCTGCCCGTGCCAGAATGTTCGTCGCTACAGCCGTAAAGATATTTTGCGTCAATGCGAGCCGAGTAGTGACGCTGTGGTGGTGCTGCGGGGTGGAATTGCTGACGCTGGAGGTCGCAGCGAGACATACTTAATAGTTGTGAATGGAGTAGGCCCCTATTATGCCAAGGATGAAATAAAACATCATTGGCTGCTTGAGAGGTGCATCCCCCTGAGCATCGGGCATTGGAATTTCCTGTGCTGGCACAGCACGTTTATATATTGGGTTTCAGTTACATTTGGACCCTTTCCCCAAACGTTTGTACGATATCAATGAATAATTACTCAGTGGTGTACACCATGGTTGATTTGTCATGGCAAATGAAAAGCGAGATAGGCACTGCTGTTTAATTAACCAGTTATTAATATATTATTTGCTGTGGCCAATGTTAATGTCATCTTTATTGATTCATCAATTATGATATATCAGTGCAATTGGTGAACAGAGCGGTGTCTGCAGAAAGTAAAATGTCACGTCGTAGTCTGCGGAGATGATACCTGCCTACGTATTGCATACCTTCTGTAAAAAAATAAAAACGTTTCTGTAAAAAATCTAATTTGGATCATATTGTGAGCTGGGGGGCGTTACCTTTTTTGCTGATTGAATTCCCCTAAATAAGTGTGGGTTTTGTAGCTATAAAATTCCACAGCTGCTCCTGAGCACTTGACCCAATATCTTGGCACCCAGTGTTTTTTAATTATGATTTTGCAGAGATAGCGATATTTGGCACTTGTTTTTACATTTCAACAAATCGTTAACCCCCCCCCTTGAAAACTTTACATGCAAACGTTATTAGTCCTAATATTAGGTGGCAACCTTTTGATGACATCCCCAGATCCAAAGGTGTGAATTCCACATATCGGCAAAATTGTACAATTGAGACGGAAAAAAATAGGAAGTACAAATGCAATTGTTAAAACGAAGTTTTTTTAAAAAAAAGTCGTGACCCTAAATTATATTAATATATTAAATGTATGTGTTATCTGGTAGTAGACTACACCTGACCAAAAGCATTACTTAAAAAAATAAAAGAACTAAGAATAGATTAATTATTTTGGGTGCCCGTGGAGTTGCTGGGGTTAGAATGCTTTATCCGCTATTGGTATCAAACTCCGATGCCCTTTGGCAACACACCCCGCTGTCCTCATGGAGGGGTCATTAAAATGCGAACCACTTTGTCATAAATCAACAGAAGTAATCCTTTGAAAGTCAGTCCCCCTTTGCCCCCTGCAACAGAAGTGTGGAACTTGTACCGTTAGCCAAGGGGTCACCAACAGATGTGCGCAGCATTCACTTGTCACCGGGGTGCCGCGGTGCCTCGCGAGATGTTAACTTCTCTTGCCTGGTATGCAATAGTGCGTGGGTTCGATCCCAACCCTGACGCCTGCTGTCCCCTTCCCCGTGGTCGCATGGATTTTTTCTGAGTTTCCTCCGGTTTTTCCCTCCGCATTTGGAATCAACATGCGTTTAGAGTAATTTGGCCGTCATAAATTTTCACCGTGGTAAGCCACTTTTTGTTAAGCTATCGTTTGTGACCAGCTCTATAGCTTGGTGGGGCTTAATCTGTTAAAATTTTAATAATTTAATGGTTTAGTTTCTCCACAGTTGAGGCGAAGGGACCGATTGACGAGAGCCCTCTCGGGTTTCGTGTTGTGGGTAGGTGGAACGAGCGAGCGGCGGAGCTCAAGGCTTTGCCGGACCCTGCCGTCCGTTGTGTGTGGTTGTCTCCTAACCGTGTTCCCCCCTCTCTCTGTGTCCATGCGTAGATGTCCCTTGGACGGGCCCCCCGCCCACTAGAGCAGGCTTGGAGCTCGCGCTGTCTCCTCCAGGCAGGGAGTCATGTTCCATTTCGTTTCCGCTTTTGAGTTTTTGATTTTGGACTTTTTGTTTTTAACCGAAACAAAAAAATCCTCTGCCATCTTCCTTCTGCTTGTCTTTTTCTTTGTGCACGTGGTTGCCCTCAGCGAGCTTGAAGGAGTTAAAATTGAATCTCGTGTTTCTTGACAGGGTGGTTAAATAACCGTATATTTAGCACAGCACTTTTGGCTCTCGGGTCTTTGCCACGATTCAACAGCCGCCATATCTACCTCTGTAATGCGATCCAGTACCCTTGATAGATGTAGAACAGGAAGCTTTGTTTTTACCACAGTTAGCGAGCATAGGCCCAAAATGTCCAGCGACCAGCAACAAATAGCACGTCAGGCCACACCTCCAACCTAACTGTCATTGGCATCTTTTTTCAGAAGAGGCTGTGAAATTGGCATTTTCCCTGCCTGATTGTTTACCCTTTACTGACAAATGTAACCAATTTCTGCTTCAAGGTTAGTGGTATTGAGGTAGTAGCTGTACACATTCTGAGGATGCTTTCATGAGTTGGTCAAAACATCCTTATTTAATCTTGATCCAAATGGGTAAAACTATCAAGCGAATTTTTCCCTGCTTCCGAGAGGCCTGTGGATGCTGATTATATATCATTGTTGGCAGCCCTCTAACAATAGTGGATTGTTTTCAATATATTACCCAAAGCAGCCACCACCTCGCTTTCAGCACGAGCTAAACCTTCAAACCCCTTGGTTCGATTAGCTTTGTACCACCTTGAAGGATGTGTTCCTCATTAGATGTTTCTCTTGAGCATTGTCCCTTTGCTTCGTTCACGAACTTCCTAGACCGGTGTGAAGTGATCCTTTACGTTAAGGCAGCAGAAAGATTGTCGCTGCCTGCTCAAGCAAAATATTTTTCACTTTGCTTTGAGAAGAGGATCGGGGGCTAATCCGTTATACATTGGTGTCGCCATCTGTAACAGAGGCTCCTCCAGCAAGGCTTTATTGTACTTTTACTCGACCACTCCGTCGTTATCTCAGTTAGCCATCAACAGTCCTGTAGGTTGAAGTCTTCCGCAGTTTGTCACGATATCTCATGATCTGGCCATGTAAGAGTCCACAGTAGGAGCGCAGCGAGTGTTTATCACGTTGCACTGGCGGTCTAGGTTAAATGTGAAAAATGGAGACATAAATGCACAACACAGGAAACTTGATCTAAATTGGTATTGGACATGAATGCTTAACGGGGGTGACTGTTACCTATAGCTATTGATTTATGATAAGTTTTGGTTGCGTTTGGGGCTACTTAAAGCCATTTACAGCTTTACGCTGGCATATTTTGGTGGCGATTATATTAAAACAATATTGTGACTTGAGAGGTCGCTCATAAGTACATCAGACCTGATGGATTTGTTCTATAAGACATAGATGTAGTTACATGTATGCAGATGTTGTGGTGTATTTAAACTTGTCAAATTTAGGCTGCGTAACTCGGTACCTGGTGGTTCTGAACACACCAGTTTGGTGGCTGTAAATGGTGCATCCGTTGATGGAAGCTGCGGGCCCAAGTGGAGCTCCTCAGCCCATGGATTTTACAGGAATGTTCGTTAGTTTTGCCGATAATTCATTAGGCCCCGATGGCCACGTGATATTTTCCTGTCTTATATCTTCCAAACGCACTACCCCCCCACCCACCCTTCCTACAGATCAGGTTAATTTAGGACGTGATATCAAATCTTGTATGCCGTTTTTGTCACTTTCATTTTCAGCTTTACTTCACTTCTAAACTAAATGCGTTCATTGCGAAAGGTTTGCTAGTTTGGAAACCCATTAGCCGATGTAGATAAAAATTCTGGCAGTGTTTTTAAGTCTCAGTTGCACCTCCCCCGCCATGATGCGAGATTTGGCCTGGTTTTTTTAGTAATAATTCGTCGAATCCTACGGAGTCTGGTGTAAATTCTGGCTACGAAGTGGGGAATTGCTTGCTGACGTAATAGATGGTCACCTCGTGAGTTATGGATTTTGTTGTTGTTGTTGTGAGGTGGCTTAATAGGGCTGCCAGAAACTAGCTTGGTTTTTTATTGACATTCATACAATGACCTACATACCATTGTTAGTGACACACGCAGCGTTGCGTTCCACCTCTGGAGCCACGCGCATCTTCGAGGTGTCTTGTAATGCAATGCCACACTTTTGTGATGTCGGAGTAGTTGATTAGGGTACGTCGCAATTATAGACAATTGTGGCATTATGAAAAGGAATTGAGGAAAAGCAAAAAGATGGGGCCCACTTGTTCTGCATCGAGGAGCCAAAAGTATTGGGGTGCCATTGCTGATGAAATTGCATAATTGTTAAAACAATGAAGTTGACGCAATGCGTACACGTTTAAAAAGGTACCAGATTTGCCTGGAAACAACACGGCCTTGAGTTAAATGCAACCTTCGTCCAGCTGAGGGCAAACACCTCCGTCACACCAAGTGACTCCTTCATCTCTCTCATAACTAACTTGCCTTCCTTTTACTTTGCTTGTGTGTTTGCCTGTTTGGAAATGTTTGTGGTGACGGTGGTGTCGTCTTGTGATTTTGCTTTATTTTTCTCTCACATCCGCTTTGTTGTCATTTCTGCTGTTTTTACTTATCCTGTTTTCTTTTTTTTTTGGTGGGGTTCTTTCATTTTTTAAAGGTGAAGGATTTTGGGCTGAATAAAGTAATGTTAAAAGAAAAATTCTTACCGGTTTTTGAAAATTGACGCATAGATATGATTTTGCGGTGCCTGACACTTCACGTACAAGCTGTGCTTAAAATAATCTCTAATCGATGTATATTTTTTTTTAGCAAACTCTGCTGGCACAATCCACTTGAATCTCTATTCTTTTCCCTAACCGAGCCTTGCGGGTCTTGTTCTTGGCACCGTGAGTGTGGATCTCAAACGACTTCCTGCCTCCCCCTACCCAATCCCCCATCCCTGCTGTGTTTCTCCAGTGCCCGCGGATGCTTGGCCGCTTCCCTGCGTGTGCGTGTGCGCGTGTCACTTGTGAATGTCTCCCGTTTCCATGGGATGATTTATCAAGCCCCGTGCCGCGTGAGCGATAACCCCCGCCACGTGCTGCCGGCACGTTTCTCGCGCAGCGTTTAGACATCTGGGATTCGAGATCAAGGTAGTCTAATTCATTAAAACTCGAGAGGCTTTTTTCTCTCAAACAACCGTGTGCACATTGTTGCTCTTCATTTTGCTTTTTGTGGCCGAAGAAGCTGTGTGCATTAAAGTGAATCCACTGGTTTGATTATTGCTGGTCGGCGGGCCCCCCAGTGTGTGTATAAATGTAAAAAAGAAATTTCTGTGAAGCCAGAAAGACAGCGACATTGTCCCATGGACACCTGACTGGTCTGCCTGCATGTGTGTGTTTTACTTTGTTCTTAAGAGCAGAGTGGTGTGTGTGGGCACGCGTGTGGTTTGTGTGTCGTGCAGCTCTGTGAATGTTAAGCCAGATTTTAAGTGACCACACATGTTCGCTCAGAAGCTTTTTGAATAAAAAAAGTAGAGAATTTTAGTTTAGATGATTCACTTTCAATAATGACCACTCATCCATCTGGAATATTGCTGTAAGATTATAATTAGCTCGAATAGCTGTTAAGGTAGAAATATATCTTTAATTTTTTGCCTTTCTGTTTTGGTGTGTCATTCCAGTAAATTCTAACGGGGGTAGCGATTCCCCACACCACCACCTGTCTTTGGAAATTGGATTAATTGTTACGTATCAATTATTATTAACATTGCAGTCGTTGGTGAAAGTGGCAGCCCCTGGTGGCTGCATGGTAACGTCAACCCGTCACATGGCATCTATAACAACCAAAAATATATTTATTTTTACACATCCATTTCACTGTATATTATGGCGATAATGTTACTTGATAACAGCAAATCTACATGTAAAGCAAAATGGTTTAAATCGGAATTGTTTTGTCAGTTTCAAGCCGTTTGTTTGGAAAGACGGATGGCTGCCTGACATGCGTGCGCACGTACCTGTGGGTTGTGCATGTGACCGCTCCTAAATAGGACCCATTAACATCGACCAAATAATTTAAATGGTACGCTTTAATTATTTTGATTAGGTACGATACACCGAGCCCTGCTGTGTCTCTGAATTGTAAACTTAGCACAGGCAGTGAATCTCCATCATCAAAGACTGTCCATAATAGAGGTTAAATCGCGTAAATATTTACGCGATCCAACCCCGCGATCCAACCCAAAAACCTCTTAAGGATGATATTGGTCACGAAAGCCTTCGTGTTAAATCAAAGACTGTGGTGAAGGCACGCACCAAAAACAATCTCTCCATGATAAAGGTTTTGTTTTTGGGTTATATCGTGTAAATATAAATGTGTCGTTAACCCATCACCCGACACACCCAATTAGAAATGTCTGTCATGTAAACAAAACGTTTACAAATTGTAAATTTGGGTTTCCTCTCCAACTGCGTTGTGCTGAAGTAGTAACGAATTGTCATGTTTAATTTACATGACAAATCTTATTTATTGGCTGTCGGGTGGTTGTGGGTTAACGGCACATTTATATTTATGCGTTCAACCCTTTTAAAAACATTTATGAACAATATTGGTCGCGAAATCCTACGTGTAAAATAATCTCTCCATCTTCGATCTTAACGTTATGTTATGAGAGGAAAAATATTTAGTCGGCTAATATTTCCAAGTGATTGCCACCAACTTGTGCTCTAAAAGGACTGTTTTCCAAAACGATAGCCTGCTGTCCTCCCATCATAAGCCAGTGTTGGCGACGCAGGTGGTGAGTTATTTTGGCTTTTACTTTATTACACCAACTAAAATGCAGTTGCTTAAATTTATTCAGAATAGCTGCCATGGCAATTTCGGGTGCAAGTGCCAATCTGGTTATTTTTTAGAAGTATTTGCATTTCACGGAGTAGTTAGCAGCGAGTCGTTTGCTCTGCGTATGTCGCTGTACCTGTGTGCGGATTTGCGCACACGCGCGCGTGCGTCATCCTGTGTTGTGAGCGATTTGCTTCCGCGTAAACCGTAAAATCTCCTGGTGCGTCACTCTACACGTGTGCCTGTGCGCCTTGTTGTCTGTGTACCTGTCCCCCCGTGACTGTCTGTGTGCCGTGACACTTGTGTGGCGTCTGCGTGTGCACATTTCGCTTCCTCTTGTGTCTGCGTTGTACTTTGGTGTCCCCGACCCTCTCCTCTGTTCACTGCCCACTTCCCTTCACTGTAACCCCAATGGGGGGGGGGGGGTTACAGCAGCGCTTGCGCGCTCGCAGAATTTCCCAAGGGGTGGGGGGGGGGGGGTCCCTTGTGAAGTTTGGTCGAGTTTGCAAATTCAGGCACTCGGATGTGCAGTTTGTTTGCGGACTTTCTTTCCCTCCGTCCAAACGACCCGCCACCGCAAACAAACGAGCAAACTTTACTATACATATATTTATATTTGGTCAGCGTGTGTCTCTTTCTCTTGCAGACAATCCTGACAGCAAGAAAATGGCGCCACAAAGTGACCGTAAGTAGTACCCCCCCCTGTCCATTGGCATGTCACCCAGCGGATTTACTGGGTTCCTCAGCACCCTCGCCTCTCTGTTGGGCATCGTTGTCACCGTTGAGTCGTTGGTGCTCGTGAATCGTACTCATTTATGCAGCTCTTGCATTTCCGGATATTCCTTTACGAAGCTTTCACGTGATGGGGGTTGCGAAATTGTTGCCTAATTATTCAAAACCATTGGGTGGGAAAACAGAAAAAATTTTGCTTAAGGTTGGTGTCCAAAAATATATATCTTCTTTGAAATCTGATGTGGGAACGAACGGAGATGTCTGATCGTTTTTTTTTATATAAATGATTGGTTTTAATCGTCTTAAAGGGTCTTCCCCATGGAGTCATAGGGTAGATCTTGCCTAAATTGGCTGCCCCGAGCTAGTGGTGGAACTTCCCTATTTCTATGGTGGAGGAGGCCTGTCTCTTCGTAAGATAGCGACTGGTGGACTTCATACAAAGTTTAATGGACCTCGAAGGGGTGGTCGGGTATAGTCTGTCCTCAACCAGGATTTGCACTTGTGATCTTATTATTGCTCGTCGAACACTCTTCACCGCAGGGCATGGAATATATTGTATGGTTTAACCAATAATTTGCCTCTGCATATGGGAGATGCAAAGAGTGACTCGCGGTGTGTCCCCCAACTCTTGCGAAGGATGTCACGGGGTCTTTTGAGGCCACTGTTGACGTGTACAGGAAGCCTCATAAAAATTACGGGCAGCTGTTGGGATTAACGGTGAAATCGTGCGCCAATTTAGCCCATCTTGGGAGCGGTGGTTTTATGCGGCCATACAAATTTCAATTGTGCTCTTCTCTTAATCGTCAATAGTCACGGAGGTGTGAGGTGCGCGCGTCTCGCTGGAAAGCACACGGGTTTGAGTGGTAATGAAATATTTAGTGGCGTAATTATCCATACGCCTCATTTGTAGTAATGTGAAGAGGGGAAAAAGCGAATTATTTTTTTTACTTTTCACATTTGGGCGAGTGGGATTCCATTTTTGTCTTGATAGTTATATTGTAAAGTGGTGCATGGTTTGCTAGGGTTGTGAGTTCAAGGCACATGTGGTGTGGGCATGTATCGCACGTAATTGGCGTACGCTGAAGACAGGCAGGTAGGGAGTGGATATTTAAATGCGTTACATGGAGAATCTAGGAGCTAAAGGTGAAACGCAGGTTGTCGACACAAACGTTTCAGGAAAATCTTGAGTGTAAATAACGTCTTTTGTGTCATTCATAGAAGGCAAAAGTTATGTTTGGCGAATTGTCAGAGTTGAAGCGCTTAATCATGTAAAAAGTGCTTTTTAGCCCACCGGATTTCTCCATTTTATGTAAATATCATTCTGAAGTTCAAGAAGGAAGGATGTTGGAACGTATGGGAAAAGGACAAGCAGTAGAAAACGGAAGCCACTGCTCACAACTTTGATGTGAGAAGGCGTCCACCTGACGATGTGACGAAGGAAGTGTTCGTTTGAATTCAAGGAAGGAAGCTTTAAACGAAAGACCTGCCCTTTAGGCAGACAAGATGGGTATGTAGGATTGTTTATAAATTCTCTGAAAGGAACATTCAGTCTATTGTGTGCTGCAGCCCTCCTTCCAGACTAACCCATTGCAGGAGCGTTTGCCGGTACGCCGCTTCCAGAGATACTGAGCCTCATGAGCAACATGAGGCTTGATAAACCAGTGGTACTCTTTATCCATTTGTAAATTATAGTTATCTGCTAATAATGCGAGATCTCGAGAATAGCATTGCTGCAGTGGGTCCATAGTTTAAAAAAGCTCAATATTCTTACTATTTCAGGAATTTGAAGAAGCTAAGGGTTTCATCATCATGGGACCTCATTTGCCAGTACCAAAATATGAGAATCGGTTTTCCCCTTTTTTCTGGCAACAAACAGGTGTTAAGATAATAAAACACCAAACTGAAACCTTTTACAAGGAAATCATGTCTGCATTAACCACAATACTTGTGGTCAGAATGCAAACAAAAAACATACTCTAATACAGTGAGGGAAAAAAGTAATTGATCCCCTGCTGATTTAGTACGTTTGCCCACTGACAAATGATCAGTCTATAATTTTAATGGTAGGTTTATTTGAACAGTGAGAGACAGAATAACAACAAAAAATTCAGAAAAAAGCATGTCAAAAATGTTATAAATTGATTTGCATTTTAATGAGGGAAATAAGTATTTGACCCCTCTGCAAAACATGACATAGTACTTGGTAGCAAAACCCTTGTTGGCAATCACAGAGGTCAGACTTTTCTTGTAGTTGGCCACCAGGTTTGCACACATCTCAGGAGGGATTTTGTCCCACTCCTATTTGCAGATCTTCTCCAAGTCATTATGGTTTCGAGGCTGACGTTTGGCAACTCGAACCTTCAGCTCCCACAGATTTTCTATGGGATTAAGGTCTGGAGACTGGCTAGGCCACTCCAGGACCTTAATGTGCTTCTTCTTGAGCCACTCCTTTGTTACCTTGGCCGTGTGTTTTGGGTCATTGTCATGCTGGAATACCCATTCACGGCCCATTTTCAATGCCCTGGCTGAGGGAAGGAGGTTCTCACCCAAGATTTGACGGTACATGGCCCCGTCCATCATCCCTTTGATGCGGTGAAGTTGTCCTGTCCCCTTAGCAGAAAAACACCCCCAAAGCATAATGTGTCCACCTCCATGTTTGACGGTGGGGATGGTGTTCTTGGTCATAGGCAGCATTCCTCCTCCAAACACGGCGAGTTGAGTTGATGCCAAAGAGCTCCATTTTGGTCTCATCTGACCACAACATTTTCACCCAGTTGTCCTCTGAATCATTCAGATGTTCATTGGCAAACTTCAGACGGGCATGTATATGTGCTTTCTTGAGCAGGGGGACCTTGCGGGCGCTGCAGGATTTCAGTCCTTCACGGCGTAGTGTGTTACCAATTGTTTTCTTGGTGACTATGGTCCCAGCTGCCTTCAGATCATTGACAAGATCCTCCCGTGTAGTTCTGGGCTGATTCCTCGCCGTTCTCATGATCATTGCAACTCCACGAGGTGAGATCTTGCATGGAGCCCCAGGCCGAGGGAGATTGACAGTTCTTTTGTGTTTCTTTCATTTGCGAATAATCGCACCAACTGTTGTCACCTTCTCACCAAGCTGCTTGGTAATGGTCTTGTAGCCCATTCCAGCCTTGTGTAAGTCTACAATCTTGTCGCTGACATCCTTGGAGAGCTCTTTGGTTTTGGCTATGGTGGAGAGTTTGTGATCTGATTGATTGCTTCTGTAGACAGTTCTCTTTTATACAGGTAACAAGCTGAGATTAGGAGCACTCCCTTTAAGAGTGTGCTCCTAATCTCAGCTCATTACCTGTATAAAGAGACACTTGGGAGCCAGAAATCTTTCTGTTTGAGAGGGGGTCAAATACTTATTTCCCTCATTAAAATGCAAATCAATTTATAACATTTTTGACATGTGTTTTTCTGGATTTTTTTGTTATTCTGTCTCTCTGTTCAAATACACCTACCATTAAAACTATAGACTGATCATTTCTTTGTCAGTGGGCAAACGTACAAAATCAGCAGGGGTTCAAATACTTTGTTCCCTCACTGTATATGCATTGTCTTTGAAACTGATTGGTCCACACCAGAGACAACTTTCTTCGTCTCAAATGGTGTTCGCCCAGAGGACGCCAAAAGGCATTTTTATATTATGCTCAAAGGTAATTTAATTCATTTGATCCGTCTTCTAAATTAGTGCTTAGGAAAGGAAAATCTTGCTTTCCCCTGAAGAGCCGCCTTGTCCAAGTGAGCTTCTGCGATATTTCATTTGTATGCATACGCAATCCAGACACTATGCATGGAAGTCTGCGCGAACATAGATTGCCGGCGGGGTGTACACAGGACATGCGAGGCACATAGGCATATAGATGGTGTGTTGCTGTCCATAGGCACGTCATGATTGGAAGTGGAATCCTTTAAATTTCGATTTAAAGCTTTCGTGACTGCAAGGATTCATCTTCTTTGGTTCTTTCGGTAAAGTCACGTGACTTCACCGAAATAACCAAAGAAGATGGAATCCTTTAATTATAGGTCGTTAAATACTGTGTTCCAGAGACAAATGCGTGTTGGAAAGGGTTACAGGACACACACATACGCATGGTTTTCCTTATTTATCATTGGGTGGGGAGGTGGTAGCTTAAGTAGCTGTAGGGGTGGCATCTACCCATTGCGTAAAGCATAAATGGAGGGATAAACATTGATTCCCGTGCAGATCCGGTGGTTGCGCCTTGCGCTTAATTGCCGTGAATCAAGTTCGGGCACCACCCCGTAGCGCTGACTTAGTTCCACTATCGATTTTTATCAGTTGTCGCGCTCGCAGCATGTGTATAAGATTGTTACTCGCGAGACTCCATTCTATGCGATTCATGCAAATGACACGCGAATGTTTACGTTTCTGATGAGGAATCGCGACGAGGAATCCCACTCGCCGCGAAGTGGGAGGTGGTGGGGGTCAGTCGTGGGGAGAAAATGCAAACTCCAAATATACAAGCGTCAGGGTTGGGATCAAACCCACAACCTCCTGTACGCCAGGCGAGGTAGTTCACATCTCACCGTGGCACTTCTATATAAGCACATCATCCCACTGGGAGCAATGCCAGATGTATCGGATGTTGCCCATTGCCCCAAACCATCGTGATGTAAGGGTGTTGCCTATATGAGAAATGTGTTTATCCACCACCCACTGTACTTTTATATCTCTGTCTTTTGTAATGGTTACGAGACGATGTCAGAGACTTGAGCCGCGTCCTCATTGCTTGTTCGAACAGGGCAGACGGCTTTCTGAATCTGAGCAACGGGCGGCAGCAAGCGTTACTGCGAGAGATATTGGAGCATTTCGACATTGCATAGCAGGGTGATGTGACCGCTTCCTGTTTATATATGTGGGCCTTTTACATTTTCCACGCAGGGCAACGAAGCAGGGATGTGGCAATATGT